TATCCTGTTCAGGCTAATGCACTGGCTAGCGTTATCATGTATGGGCTAATGTTATTCCTTTTAGTGTAATGTAGTAGCCACCATTTTCTTGCTACGGCTAACATAGTGGCTAACATTATGTTACTTAGGGTAATGTAGTTGCTAACATAATCTTGTTTAGGCTAACGTAAAGAACAGTGTTGTTGTGTTTTAGCTAATCTGGTAGCTAACAATCATTTGTTTAGGTTGACATACAAGCTAACGTCTTAATTAAGTTTCTCTCCATTTTTTTCTCGTAAATGGATGAAGTTTGGTTTGTTTTTCATCTCTAACGTTTTTTTTTTTTCTTTAAGCTGCAAACAGTTGGTTTCTGTCTTTTTCTACTCTGTTTGTTAGAGCCAGCGGAGCCTGCAGCGCCCCCTTCTGAGCCTCCGGTTAAAGGAAACTCAACTAAATCACATTTTCTTTTGTCGCAACGCCTCAAAGGTTCATCCTAAACTGTGTGATAGATTCAGCAGCTGTACATCTGGAGCTTGGGGGTCACAAACATCAACGAGCACTAACGTGATAACGAAGCCGACTTACTGTCGCGGTTATTCTGGTAGAAGCTCCGCCCCCTGCCGAAGGATGACTGACAGTTAGGCACTTCTGTAAACAAAGCAGAGAGAAGGAGGATAAACTTAGAGCAGAAACATCCTCGCTGTCAGATCACACGTGTCAGAATCAGAATCCTGCGGCCAGCTGACGGATATATCTGGACCGAAGCCACGCGAGCAGCTTTGATGTCCGACGTTTGATCTGCGTTCAGGAGACGTTCAGTCTGAGCTGCTCCCAAACCTGCACGCCAGCTTAAGAGACGTTCACCAAAATGACACCATTTGTCAGAACCAGAAACTGTCAAAACCGAAAAAAAGTCTCAGCTTTCAGACGGTCCTTGAACTAATCAGGTCCGATGTGAAGTTCAGTCGGTAAAATTAACCAAATCTGAGCTTAAAATGGTCAAAATCACTTTAAAAAGTCACTTTAAAAGCAGAGTTAGGTCCAAACTGATTAAACAACAACCAGGAAGCTGAGACCGACTCAGGTGTGACCAACAGTCATGTGACGGATTTCAGAGAGTTTTCGGCTGAACTGCAGGTCGTGTTTCCACCGAGCAGGTCAGCAGGTTAAAACTGTAAATAATAAAATATAATAGTGTATATAATAGTTAGCAGAGCCTCCATGTTGTCCAGTGTTACTGACACCTGAGGAGACTGGAAACAGGTTGGTTCCAGGTTTTTTTCAGTTTCAGTTTTGTTTTTTTCTGATTTCTATTATTCCAACCGTGTTGAACGAAAAGAAAAACGAACCAGCAGCAACGAAAAGGCTCAGAAGCTGCCTGACAAACGGTCGACACACACGGCGGTTGTGCTTCAGCGCTGGCTGTGTCGGTGTGGAGGTCTGAGGCTGCAGCCGACCAGAGAACAGCCTCCTCCATGTCCTGAAGCCTCCAAACAGGATTAGCACGGCGGCGGCTGCGTTCACTCTCAATGACAATCGAGTTACGTCCGTCCTCCCCGAAGCCGCTCGGCTTCCGCTCAGACTCTCAAACGTCGGCCGGCCGATAAGAGATCAGGCAGCTGCTGCCTCCTCGACGCCTTTCATCCCCACAGAGGACGGTTTGTGGAGGAGAGAAGAAGAATCAGAGAGAAACCAGACTGAGGCGTTTAGATCGATTTAAATTAATCAGTCGTTCAGTTCAAGTCTGACCGCAGCTTCTTCAGCGTGAATGTTTTCTGGTTTCTTTCCTCTCATGACAGTAAAGTGAACATCTGACGGCTTTAAGAAGCACCTCTCACGGTTTGGACTTTAATAAACCAAACAGCAGTAAAAGTTCTCTGGTTCCTGCTTTCTGAATGTTTTCTAATAATTCCTTATTTCTATGACAGTAAATTAAATGTTTTTGACATTTGAGGGCTTTTTACAAACCAAACAGCTTTTTCCATTTTTCTGTTATTTTTTAAATTCTCTGCTTTCAGCCTTTTAACTGAATATTTCTGATTCCAGTGAACTGAATGTCTTCATCCATCTTTATAAAACACTAAACAGTTTAAAACCAACTGAACACCTTTTATTTATTATTACATATTATTTATATTCTTATATAAAAATAATTGAAGCTTCAACGAACAGCTAGTTTTATTTTTTTTCTAATCTGGATTAATTAATTAGTGGTTTGACCTATAAAAGTTAGAAAATGATGACAGAAAATATTCACATTTAAGAAGCTGCATAAAGGACAAATATATAATAAAAAACCATCGACTGTAACTTTGAAGCCGTCGTGTGGTTCTGTGGTGGAAAAGAACCAAATCTGTGCTTCAGGTTGAGATATTTGATCTAAATCACTTCATTCTGTCTCATTTAAAAATTCCCAAGATGACGTTTATCAGAGTAAATAAACTGCAGAAACCCATTTAGCAGCCCTGAGCTAATCCTGTGGTTCCCGATCTAAACTAAACCTGATGTTTCAGAGGCCAAACGCCGATTAAACCATCGATAATAAAGGTTCAGGGTCTTTAAGGATTCGTCCACAGCGTCGGCGTGACGTTTAAAGGCCGTCAGAGGCTAAGAGGATTTGCGGTTACGTCACCGAGCAGCCGGCCGGCGCTGCAGCGAAGGGATCCAGCGAACGGAGAGAAAACCGCAGAATGCGAGGAAACAGGACGGCAGCTGGGCGAGTGGGCGGCGGATCAGAGCCGGTTCATGTGAGCGAACGGCAGCTTCCCGAGGTTCAGACTGGAGTCGGACCGAGCAGCGCCGGGCTGCAGGCCGCGAGTCCTCAGAGGGCAGCGACCCACATCTATTCCAGGTAGGCTCACCTGGCTCAGTGACCCACTTACTGCCAGCTCCGGGCCTGAGCCCGGCTCACGGACCCATTTCACGGCACAGCGTCAGAACAAACACACACATTCCTCATGAACCTGCTCAACTCACCGGAGTCGAAGCAGAAGTCTCGAGGCTCCTGCTTGATGTTCATCGGGTGGAAACCGGCCTGGCGGGGCGGAACCGGGCCCGGACCGGGCGGGCCCATGGCCGGGACGCCCTGCTCGCTGTACCGCGGGTCGATCAGCTCCTGCTTGAAGCCCTGAGGAGGCGCAACCAGCGGCTCTGACATCTGCCGGTGGTACGGAGGCCGGCCGTCCCGGGACAAAGTGCTGCTGCTGCTGCTGGGAGGCAGAAACTGGGCCCGGACCTGAGCGTCGGAGGGCGGGAAGGGAAGGCATGGTTCTGACATCTGCCTCTGGAACCTGCAGCAGAAACACACAGAGGAAGATCT